CAGCTGGGTTTGAATGGTGGAAATTTGCTGATATCTTGGTTGCATATTTTTGTAGGTTTGTGATTTTGGCTTGTCACGTTTGAAGCACCACACTTTCCTGTCTTCAAAATCTACAGCTGGGACGGTAATACCCCACACCAAAATGTAATCTGGTCATAGTTTTCAAGGCACCTAGGAGGCGACCACAGGGCACCTAGGCGCTGGAGTTTTAAAATGTTTGTTTTATTGAGTTTTTACTTTGTATATGCTTTTCTAAGTCATTTTATTGGTTTTGAGCGCTAACTAGCAATCATGTACACTAACTATTAACACTATAAATTATTAAAATGAGTATAAATTTCATATAAAAAGCTAAAAATATAAAATATTATCAATAAAAAGGAGTCTAAACCAACTATTATCAGACATGTAATTCAGCCATAAAAAAACATTTGAAGAAGAGAATCCAATTCAGCCATACAATCACTGAATCAAGTTTCAGCCATGTAGTTCATCCATATAAAAAAATCAGCTATATAATCATATATATTAATGATATAAAAAAAAATTGAATTAGAAGAAGAAGAATTAAAGAAGAGACTAGAAAAGAATTGAAGAAGAGAAGAAGAGTAGGTTTGGCAGCTTAGGCTGTTAAAAACTGAGATGATTCAAGTGTGAATCATGACTGAAATACTGATTGAGAGCGGAGCCCCTGTTTTTTTCAAAACAAAAAAATGGACTCATCGGGCGGACTGACGACTGAGAGAGTGAGAGTGACTGACTGAGAACAATTGGACTCATAGGGTGGAAGAAGTGGAGAAAGGGAGGACTGAGGAGTATAGGGGCTCAGCCCCTGTTTTTTCGAAAAAAAGAAAAGGACTGGCGAGCCCCTGTTTTTTCGACTGAAATCTGAGATGAAGAAGAAGAAAGGGAGGACTGGCGGAGCCTCTTTTTTTACGAAAAAAAAAGGAAAAAAAGTCTGAAACTCTGAAATCTGGAAAAGAAGAACTGAAGTTATCAACTTACCTGCTCGAACTAAGGTGAAATGGAGCTGGGCTACTCGAGCTTGCAGTGTTCACCTGTTCAGTTCTCCTCCCTCTCCAGTCGAACCAAAACCCTTGTGATACAAGGGTTTAGAAAAGAAAATAGAGATACTAAAATGATACAACGTATAGTTCTCTTAATACTAAAATGATACAATGTAACAGGTTTATTTTAAAAGAATACAACAACTACTGAAATATCAAATTTAATAAATTTAAAACAAAATATTTTTTTTAGATGCATGTAGGCGCCCGCCCAGGCACCTAGGCACCCGCTTAAGTCTCTGGGCGGGCGCCTAGTGCGCAAAACATGTGGTGTTTGGGTGGGGCGCTCTTTGAAAAGCGCCTAGTCGCCTTGACAACTATGCTCTGGTATAGCTCTTTTATTATCTGGGTTGCAAGAAAACTTTGGCTGTTCGGAAAAACAGCCTGGGTTGTTTTAAATCTTCATTGTGCATGACATGTTAACACGAGTCTGGAGTAAAAATGATAATTGCAATCAATATTATCTTAATTAAAAAGACAAACAAGGGGCGGAGTGGGGTAATATGTCATGTTCAGGAAGCCCCCAAAGGCCCAAATATCCAAAGTTTTTCCCTGCAAGAGTGATGTGTCTGTTTGTGTTGCTTTCAACTAACACATATTCACATTCTCAATTATAGTTTCTCTACTTTTTTTCCCTCACTCCATGATCTGTGTGCTGAAAAAGTGCCATGTTTTCAAACTGACACTCTTCAAACATGCATGTAATATGTATTTGTATATGTAAGCTTGGTCGGGTAATCATCTTTATGAACACTCGAGAAGCAACTGTCCATATATCTTCTATCTTACATTCAACATTTTAGACTATATGAAGTGTGTTGATTTTTGGATATTGTGGCCGCCCTCAGAACCATATCCATGTCCAGGCCATTACCTAATGTTGGTTGCAGCTCTGGAGTCTCAGGAAGGGTATACTGTATATGCTTTTGACATTTGGCATTTTTCTGCACAAAGTGGCCACCCTCAGAACCATATCCATGTTGATTTTAGGAAATGGAGAGTTGTATCCTTCTTTTCTTTATCAGTGTCCGTATCTGTATCGGTATCTGGGCATTATAGGTTAATGGAAATTTCACATCTTGCTCTAGAAATGGATGTTTTCTTTGTACAATTAGATGCTACATACATTTCATAATGTGTTGGTTGGAAAAGTTTTCAGTGTCTCTTTATTGTATCAATTATTTTGACAGTTGATTATTGTGTTGCAGCCAGAATGGATGGCACCAGAAGTTCTGAGGAATGAAAGATCCAATGAGAAGTGAGTTGAATCTTAACTTTTTTCCTTTTTATCCTTTGCAAACACCAGAGGTGTAAATCCCTACGTTTCTTTAATAAAAAAAACTCATTTGATACTTTGGTAGCGGTGCTCTACATTAAAATATTTTTTGCATTTACCAACGGAATTAGCCGACCCCATATAGTTGGGATAAGGCATAGATGATGATGATGATGATGATGATGATTTTCTAACAGAATTGGATTGACCTGCTTGCAGATGTGATGTATATAGCTTTGGTGTTATATTGTGGGAATTGGCTACTTTGCGTATGCCATGGAGTGGGATGAACCCTATGCAGGTGGTTGGAGCTGTAGGGTTCCAGAATAGACGCCTTGATATACCAGAAGAAGTGGACCCAGCGGTCAGGCAGATAATATGTGATTGTTGGCAGAGGTATGTCGCCAACATTAGGAATGTTTTATTTCCAGATAGTTATGTTAGGTATTAAGTTTTAGAAGTACTCACTTGTCAAAAAAGTTTTAGAAGTACTCATAGGCTTCATGCTCAACAATCGTATTCATGGATATCCGTTTGCTAGTTTTCATCGGTATTAAAATTCTGTTGTTGTGCAGTGAAGCAGAATTGCGGCCTTCTTTCTCACAGCTTTTGACTCCTCTTAAGCGTCTACAGCGTTTAGTTGTTGAGAAACCATAAGATCTAAATCCAAATGGAAGAGGAAGCGGCTCGAGATTGGCACTATTTGTAGGACTTGTACCCAGGCTCAAAGAGCATGTGCAGCATAAACACTTGTTGCAGAATCCATTTGACAAACAGAAACACCAAAAAAAAAAAAGTAAAGGGAAATAAAAAGAAAAAGGAAAAAGCAGAAGACTGAATATGGAGTTGTTGGTTCATTCGAAGTGGGGACCACAATACAGAAACAAGAATGGGCGGTCTGATGCTGTGGACTTCCTCCGTTCCAGCAACTGCGCGAAGTGCAGTGGGGGGTTCAATGCCACAGGAATGTTGTGTCTGTATCCACTATTAGGTAGAAAACTAGGGAATAATAGATTAGTTGTTACAAAATTTAGGGAGGAAAAAAAGAAGGAACAGTATATAATTTATTATTTCTGTTCTGGGGTGGGGTGGGGGGATATAATTCATGGAAGCTTGGCAGCTTTTGAAATTGTACACATCTGACCTCTGTCGATAATTGTTGTGAATGAAGAAAAAGGAAATGGAGGAAGAATATGGGAATGCAAAAGACGTTTTCCCTTACTCTCCAAGTGATATTTTTAAGTTTCCCTCATGTTTTGTTGTGTTAAAAACCTGCGTGCGTGCGTGTGTATGTGTAGTAAATCTGTTGATCTTCAAATAAAAATGCTTTCATCCACATTATCATCTTGTAATATTAAAGCAAGGTATTTTTTCTTAGCTACTTGAATTTCCACCATTTACCATTAAATTGATAAGCTAGAAGCTAAATTTTATATTACTATTTTGCTTTGAATTTTCAACTGAGCAATTATTTACAAGAAAGAAAGAAAAGATAAAAAAGAAACCAAGAAGGTGACAGCAGCAGAGGGAATCTGGAGATGAAAAGAGAAAGAAGAGAAATCCAGCAACTAAAAAATATGAAAAGAAAACCAAAGTTGACTGTTCCTGACCTTCTCCAGATGAGATGAGACTGTTGAGGTGCTCCTCGGTTCTTGTCAAAAGAAGCAACTTATTCCCTAGTGCCGTGATGAAATGGCCAAATTGGATAATACATCTCATTTGTAGGAAGAGTGATCGTACCTTTATTTGTGCTATTTTTGGGAATTCGGACTTGAACCAGTTGTTGCTCAGTGCTGAGGTTTGTCCTACACTCCTACTTGCTATTCCTAGAAGGAATGGGTTGCTTGCAATTAGAACCAATCTACGTTATTATTCTCATCTCATATCTCAGTCAGTTTGTTTGTCAAGACATCTTTTACATCACACTTTGTTGAGACTAGATGGACGGCCAGGTCAGAATCAAGAACTTGTTTCTCCTACGGTCCTACTCTTACATCTACAACCAACCAAACCAATCCTTTCTTGAACATCAACGACACGTATCCTACCTTGATTTGCGTGTTTTGCAAAGAGAGACGGCTTCTAAAGCGAGACCGGATCTGCTCCTGACACCTGGCGCCTCACACACATCATATCATACATTTACTTATTTATTATTATTCACGCAAGATGTTCCCAATGCACGGTGGATGTGCATGTGAAGCGCCCATTCGTGAAAAGCAGATCCCGTCACCTCTAAAGCTCTGCTGGTCTACTCATTACTCAATCAATCAAAGCATCTAAGGACCCACGCGACCCCACCCTACCCAATTATAAGAGGAGGAATTGACGACTTGGGTGTTTTGAGAAGAATATAATATTCGGCGTTTACTTTATTTGGTAGTGCAGAGTGCAGACGAACGGAGTTCAGTACAATAGCAGAATCCTGCCAGTGCCGGTCCATGGCTACTGTGGTGGTTCATCATCAACTGTCTGCAAAACCTCCAGCAAGGGTTCCCCTTTGTTCCCCATCGCCTATTCCAACCACCTCTTACTTTTCATCAAACACAAAATCCTCCACCAGGAACCCTAGAAGAACAAGTCGGCACCGGAATTCCAGTTCCTTAACAATAGTAGCCTTTTCTTCCTCCTCCAGGAACGGGGGGAGCACACCTCCGGAAACGGAGTGCCCCGTGCCACTCGATCAACAGCCTATTAACGAGTACCAGAGCCTCGCCACCTCCTTCCCTTTCTCTTGGGCTGCCGGCGACCTACCTGGCTATTGCATTCGTCTCATCCTCACCGGCGGCTCCTTCTCTCTCTTCGTCGGCCTCCCCGTTTCCTGGTTCGGTGTGGTCAACCCAGAATCAGAGCCCCTCAAGTGTGTCTTCGGAGCAGTGTCCAGTGGGCTCTTCGTTGTTACCTTGGCCGTCCTCCGTATGTACCTCGGTTGGGCCTACGTTGGAAACCGTCTTCTTAGCGCCACCGTCGAATGTAAGCCAATATTTCTCTCCCCTTTGATCTTCAATTGCCTTACAACTTGTCTTTTCTTCTTTTTAATTTGAATTTGCAAAATTTTGAGTTGGATGCTATCGGTGTTGCTTCAGATGAGGAAACTGGGTGGTACGATGGCCAGGTAGCTTCGACTCTGTTTCTTTCATCCTTTCTTTACTGTGTGTGAAATGGACTAGCTTTCTGGTTTCTGCTAAAAAAAGGATTTCTGAATAGAGTGTAACGAAGAATTAAGCTGCAATTGAAGGACTAATGAGTAAACATATTGGTCTGCTGATTGCCCATCAACTGAACCTGGTATACGAATTGTGATGCTTCTTGCATCAGCCTGTATCAAAGCTGTTTGATCCTGAAATTGCTTGCCCTTCTCTTTCCTTGTTGATATATTCAGTTACAGTTGGAACAAATGGAGAGAGAAGGAGCTAACCCACGTTTAACTTCCTTGGCAGATATGGGTAAAGACTGCTGAAGTTCTTGCTCGTGATCGTCTTCTGGGTTCATATTCGGTAAGTCACTTCTTATTATGTTAATTGAATTATTGGACCCATAATTCAACAGATGTATCTCGTAAAGAATCATTGGCTTTTTTTCTCATGTAGTCTCCTTTGAAGTATGAATGAAGCCATTGTATCACCAACCTCATGGTCATGGGTTATGATGCTTTAATGTTTCTTCAATTCAGGTCAAGCCTGTGCTGAGCAGATTGAAATTCACACTGATAGGGCTGGCGGCATCCTTGGTGCTATGTTTTCTAGTGTTCAATGTAGAGAGTGGCCAGAGGAATCCTTACAACCCATCAGAGGAAGCTGGGGGCAGGGCCATAGCTGGGGTTTACAATGATGAATCTGCCAGATCATTTGAGCCAGACGCATTCTGTGGTGAACTCGCTTTGCCAGATTCTTGAATGCTCATCTGTGTTTACATTATTGTCTGATTTTGAAGTTTGTAACACTTCCTACCTACCTGCGCAAATCTTATATACCAATTCTGTAAATCTGTACAGGTATTTCCTTGTCCTGGCCGTGCCCACATTGGTCACCTACTCATATTGTAAATTGAACACTGATTGATCAAAGTAAAGAAAGAAAAAGATAGGATGATTTTAGTTTTAGTTGGTCAAGTTAAAGATTTTGGGCAGTGTTTGGCAGTTTGGGGTACTTTACCTTCCTAAATAGGCTTATAAGTAAGCTTTGTTTGTTTGTTTTTTGAATAAATGCTTATTTAGATAAGCACTTTTTTTAGCTTTTGGTGCGAAACTTCCTAAATGCGTTTTTTCTTTATAAAAAGGGCTTCTCCCAAATGCAAGAAGATAACCCCGTTTGGGAGTGCTTATTTTTAAGCACTTTTATTTGTGTTTGGGAAATAAACCTTTATAAGTGCTTTTTCATGTAATAAGCCCGTTTAGAATAAACTAAAAAACTAGGCTTGTTTTCTTCAAGCACTTTATTGAAAAAGTGCTTATTATATTTCCGGCCTGTCGTAATTTTCAAAATACTTGTACCACCCCTTTTCACTGAACACTTATGACTTATCCAATAAACAGTTAAACACTCCAAATGGGATGTAGAAGTCTTTTTTTTTTTCTTCTTCTTCTAAAGGTGGGCTTTTTGAAGGTGAAAAGCACTTTTCACCTATTTTTCTAGCTTTTGAGGGCACTTTTAGCTAAAATGTAAAACCGTAGAAGCATTTAGAAGCCCTCCCAACCTTATCCTTAATATTGAAAAGCAAATTCACCCAAACTGAATAACTGAAGAAGTGATTAGTATGTTGTATGATTTTAGAAGCTTGTAGATTGTTGTGATTTGTGAAAGCTATGAGACAACTTTTGAAATGAAGCGAACCCCCAAGTCCAAACTTGAATTGTCACGGTATCACACGAGTTAGGCAAAAAAAAGGGATGATGATCGGTGGCGTACCAACAAAACAGAGAAACCGTTGCGTGTCACGTCTGCTAAGTGCTAAAAGTAATCCGTGAACTCGTACTACCACAAGACGGGTGGCCACGAGCATAGCTTCTCACATAAGCGGGATCTGCTTCTCCCAAGTTATTCTAGTTCCGTTTTTTAAATTGAGCTTCCTAATATATAGGCTTATTTGTTAATCGAGCCGACGTCAAGTCCAATAAAATTCGGTTTATAAGGTTCGTGAGTCTAATCGAATTTATCATAATAAATAAATAATTTTTTAATATATACATAAATATCTATGTATATACATGTATATATATAATAAATAATTGTTATTATATATAATATTTTTATTTTTTATGTATAATAATAAATAATTTTTATAATTCTTAATTTTTTGTATGTAAAATAAACAATACTTTTATATGTATAATTTTTATTTAAAAAAAAACTTGGATTGCAGTCGAGCTTGAACTTGCGAGTTTTGAACCGAGCCGAATTTGAGCTCAAGTCTCTAGCTCGAGCCTAACACAATTTCAATGAGACGAGCTCGAATAGCCAAGTATTCAGCTCAGCTCGGCTCGAATCCATTTACCACCCAAGGGGAGTTTTGTTCCCCCCAATGTAGATTCACGGAGTCATCTGGTTTTAAGTTTAAACCAAAATTTGACCACAAACAAGAACGTTGATAGCCCATATAAGTCGATCAATGGAGTTAATAGTGGATTTTAAGTGCACCCAGGTCATCCAGGTTGTTGCCCCTTTGATCATGTGAGACTAAATTTGTTCCTCATGCCCACTGAACTGTTGACCCGGATAACTATTCATGGTTTAATAAGGAGGTAAACGAGATTGACGATCTGAGATCATTCCAAAGAGAGAGAGAGATATCACATCATAAATCTCAATTCTCATATCTCATATATGAGATCTAAGAGAGATTCAATGCTCGAAGCCTCGGATGCTACATTGTTGTTGTCACTGTCGTTAGGGGTGGATTCAAGCCGAGCCAAGCCAAATACTTGGCTAATTGAGCTCAACTCGCTGAAACTGTATTAGGCTCAAGCTCGATTTGAGCTAGAAACTTGAGTTCAAGCTCGGCTCGGTTCAAAGCTCACAAGTTCGAGCTCGGCTTGACTCAAGCTTGATTGCAAGCCAATTTGTTTTTTAAAGTAAAAATATATACATATAAAAATTATTTATTATACATACAAAAAATTAAGAATTATAAAAATTATTTACTATTATACATAAAAAATAAAAATATTATATATAAAATAAAATGTATTTATTTATATATTTATATGTATATGTAATAAAAAAAATATTTATTTATTGTACTAGGCTTGCGAGCCTCATGAGACGAGCTTCACTGGGCTCGAGCTCAGCTCGATTAGCGAACGAGCCTATATATCAGGCTTGAGCTCGGATCGAAGCTCAGTTTAAACTAAGTCAAGCCGAGCATTTCATGAGCCGAGCTTGAATAGCTCATGAGAAGTACGGCTTGTGGCCACCCCTAGTTGTCGTCGTCACTGCCGCCGCCAGTGGACATTGGGTGATCCTCCTCCTTCCCTCCTCCTCTCTCCCTCCTCCTTCCTTCCTTCCTTTCTTTCTTTTCTCTCATTCCTTCCTTTTTCCCCCTTTCTCTCTTCCCTTCTTTTTCTCTTTCCTTTCTTTGTTTCTTTCTCAACTGAATGCCAACAGCTAGATATGGTTCTTTCTCTTAATAAATGACTAAATTGCCTAAACCATTCAACCCGGACGATCGAAACACTAACTCAGAAACTGGTGGTCAGAACAACTTCATTTTCTGGTTGTTTTTTAAAACCTTGGTGAATATCTTTTATACATGTACTTTATCATTCATCGAGATATTCCCATTATACAATTGGGATGTGGTGTGAGGAATGTTCTCTGAAGAGAAAATCTGAATTCTGGTCATGATCAAGGTTCAAAGTATTGATACATCTCAATATGGTGAATGGGGTTTATAAGTACTTCGAATCACATGTTTTTATTTTCTTTATTTAAAAAGTAGGTATTATGAATAGATTCAAACATGATTTTGACCACCGGTTCCTGGGCCAAATGGTATGTCCATCTTGTCCAAATCTCGATTAGATGTTTTTGGGTCTAAAACCAAACCCAATAGTCATGATGAATGTTTGGATGAAATGGTGTGACCATCCAATCTGGTATGGTTTTCAAAACCATGGATTTAAACATATATTAACATATAAAATAAGAAGGCCCCATTTTCTTTTTTATAAATTATTTATCGGAGTAAATGCACTTACCGAGGTAAATGTTTCCGAGTAAATGCATTTACCTATATTCTTTTATTTCCCAAGTAAATATGTAATGACCATTTTAGTCATAAAAATTTATTATTAAAAGTGGCATTTTTGTGTCATTCAAGTGTTACCAACTTTCCTCCTAGATGAAAAAGTTATTTAGGAGATAGGTATCACTTATTTGAGAAAATAAATTTTTCACTATCCATCCACTAACTCTCTCCTTACTATTTATATATTATCTTAAAATATCTCAAATTTTCTGACAATTGTTTATAACCTCCCCTTCTGTTAACTTTCCATTCAGGCATTCACATGTGATATCATTTTTTTTTTAATTTTAAAAATACCCATTTATGGTAAAAAATGCCATTTCAGTTTGGGCTCATTCTTGAATAGACGGGCAGGTTAGGGTGGAATGGACGTGGATTCTAGCATTGGATTTCGGTTCCGCAATAGCATCTCTATTCCGTAGTTCCACATGTCTTCGAATGCGCCTTACTTAATCGCTGCCTGAACTTGAAAGGAAGATTGTATCCGCGGCAGTAAAGTTGCAAGTTTTGATCTCGTTGAAACCCGTTATTGCAGACAACAAAAGGGTTCATTGAGTTGCAGACTGAAGTATCGAAGATCAGCTATTGTGAATTCGACGAATAGGTTAGCTCATGTAAATATCGGAGATGACAAAAACAATGAAAGGCCATGGAGAGGTTAACGAACAGCAAATACAAAAATAAAAAATTTCAAACGAGAAACAATAGAAAAATCACCGCGCTGAACCGATGATTCCTCGATCTAGGCATTCAAGATTTCGGCTCAAAAGGGGGTGAGGAGTTGAGAGAGCGTTCCCCAAGATTAGCTCTTGTAAATATCGAGGATGATGAAAACAATGAAAGGCCATGGGCAGATTTCGGTCCCGTCCACGGGATTTGGTTTTGGCTGGGTGTGGACGGGACCGGTCAACGCCATATCCCAATATAGCGTGAATAGGTTCTGTTAACATTTCAATATATTGTTAACGTTAACCAGAAAAATTTGTGGATATATTTTGTCCATGGTTTATTTTTAATCTCATGCTTTAAAAGATAAGGATCAAAGGCTGTGTTATCTAAGATAGACCGTAGATACACAGAGATATACTTTTAATTTTTTCTCTGAAATTCATGTAGTTGTATTTGGGTTGTATGATCTAAAATATTAATTATTTTACTAAACTTTTTAATTGTTATAAAATGTTAATGTTTTTATTAATAAAATAATATTTTTAAAATATTTACAATATATTTTTTATTTTTTTAATCATTTTACTATTGTTTTATAAAAAAAAATAATATTTATTGTAAGGTTTTTAAAATCAACCTAGAGAACAAACTGGTCAGAGGTCCGGTTCCCGAGTCGAACGGTCCGACCATTCAAACTGAACAGTTGGCCCGTTCTGACAAAAAAATTAAAAGAAATTAAAAAAATAAAAAACAATCAAATGGTTCAACCGCTCGGGTAAACGGTTTGTTGACCAAATCAACATTTTTTTCTTTTTCTTTTTTTGCAAATTTCTAGTTTTGGAGAAAAACAAAACTAGTCACCTAACCGGTTCCCGGTTTTTCTGGTCCAGTCCGGTTTTGAAAACCATGATTTATTGGTTAATATTAATTCATTGATGCATTTTTTCAAAAATATTTATCATATAAAATACAAAAATTAGATATTTTATGATTAATTGTGTATATCATTCATAAAATGTATGAGATACATGGAATAAAAAAGTGTGATGTGGACCACGCTACGGAATGCCACTATGTCACGGGGGTAGTCGTTGGGACCCCATGCGGCACTCGAATGCGACGAGTAAGCCTAAGAAACAAGCAACAACACAAGAAAATGCAACAAAGATGGCACACGAATTA